CCCGTAAAGAATTACAGTAGTGAAGTTCACTGACTGTGTAGTTTTGCCCTGGGTTTGAGACGATGAATGAATCGGTAAACGCGCGCATCACCGGATGTACATTGACGACTTCTGCTCAAATAATTTTTTTTTCTTTAATTCGTGAGCCATATAATAAACAACTTAATAACCTCGACCGTTCGGTCGTTACGGGAAAATCTCAAACCTCGGCCTACCGTATTGACCTCAGTTTGAGATTTTCCCGTAACGACCTCACTCTCAGTTATTAAGTAGTTATTAATGCTTTAGCTGAGGAGACGGATCTACAAAGGCATCCCAAACGCCATGAGAGGTGAAACCTGGAAAAATCTTCTTGGCATTGATAGCATTCCAAACAGGAGCACAGTTTATGAGGTAACTGAGAGTGTGTTACACACAGCTTATGTTAAAACGTTGGGTCAGGTAGCAGCTCTTGTAAGGTCTCACATGAATGGCTCGGTACCCTTTGATATAGGAACAAAACAAACAACAGAAGCAAAAGTCCCAAAACAATAACAGCTGCTACACTATGACAGAAAAAAGAACTACAAGCTTACAAGAGCTGCTGCACTTCTGACATTGTTGGTATTACATTTACATGCATTAGCAATCAATTCATTGAGGTACATGTAGTTGGGAAACCTATACAGTTTGTTATCATACATCCAATGTTATAAGTTTCTGATAATGTTTTGAGGAATTTAAGGGTTTGCAGTGACAGTTAATGATTTCTTTTTTCTAGTCTATGAAAAGGATTGCAAGAGCACAGTCTCCTGATATTCGGCAAATTGACCTTGATGTCAACAGAACATACAGAGATCACATCATGTTTAGAGATAGATATGGAATCAAGTAAGATCAACACTTGTGTTCTTTATAGACACAGTATGTTATGGTTATTTTTTATTACGCAGGCATTATTTTACATAATATTTACTTTTTCACTTTTTGGAATATTTAGGCAACAAGCCCTGTTTCATGTTCTTGCAGCATACTCCATGTATAATGTGGTAAGTTTATTATTCGAGTTAGTAAATTGTACCATATGTGTTTTACTGTAAAAAAAAAAAAAAAGAGTTTTGGGCAAAATAATTTCTAATTAGTTTTAATTCATTATATTTTCCTTTGTATTTGTATAAATTTGTATTTTCTATGACTTGGCTCCTCTAACTACGTAATAGCTTTTACAGACATATGTAATTTATACAGATGAATGGTAGTGTCTGTTGCCAATAGCCCTTTTCCATGGTTTACTTTTCTAATTTACACTACAATATATTCCAACATGTATGTGAGGCAATTTCAGACAATTCTGTAACTTCTACGTGAAGTAAATTTGGAAAAGGGCCAATTATGCTTAAACCTGTTTTACTGTATTGAACAAAACAAACTAAGGAATTAGGTTCTCCTTCCAAAAGATATTACATTTACAGCAATGTAACAGTGACACTAAATAGGGCTTGGAATATTTTCCTGGCTGATGCCAGTCAAGTTGTCCAGTAAAATCTATTTTTGCTTGGCCAAAAAAACGATTTTGAATGGACAAATATACATTTCATCATAGCTCTTTAAAAAGTGCTTCTCCCCACCCCCCTCAGCATGATGCTTAAATATCAAGCAAGTGCATTTAGTGAGCTTTTATTGTGGAAGTAGCTCATGTCCAAGGCAAAAAGTACGGAATACACGACACATAAAAAGCATGTTCAGTAAAATCAATATAATTGTTACGCTTTTGCCTCCTTCTGTCGCTTCCTATCGGCTCACAAGTGCGAGTAATGTACAAGTTAATTTAGAACTAGCTCTGAATCAAATTTTCCTTTGAAGTGTTAACGATGGGACAAAATGTCTGGTCATCCAACGATTTGACCCAGAAAAAACCAGTTTTTGACAGGACTTTGTCTGTTGACCGGCGGTTATTTCAAACCCTGCTAAATATCAGCCTTAGGGGCAAGTCACAGTATTGTAGTACACATTGTACGTTACTGTTTTGAAAGCAAGCTGCAAGAATTAGAAACAAACCACAGATGATTTTGTGCTTGTTTTGTAGGAGGTGGGGTACTGTCAAGGCATGAGTGGAATAGCAGCTCTTTTGCTGATGTACCTGAATGAAGAGGTGAGCTTTGTCTCTGTCTAATCTGTCCTTGAAGTGAAATCAAGTTTACAATTTGTGTAATGTAATGTAAGTTTCATGACCGAAATGACATTAATTCAGTCAAGTTTTACACTTGTAAAAATATTTTCAATGCAAGGTACACTGTATGTATGTACAAGAATTTGTTTATGACCTCAAGGTTAACTAGTATTCAATTTATCCTTTCATTTGTTTCATCTTGTAGGATGCTTTCTGGGCATTGTCACAACTTCTTACTGACAAGAAGCATGCAATGCATGGTGGGTACTCATGTTTACACTTAATATGAATAAAATAGGAAAACTAATGGTGCCTCTGGTGAAGACTGAAAATGAGAGACTGATAAAATTTAAGAGTTTATGCAAATCCTAACCACAGGCAAGAACAGGTGATAATTATACTACAGTACATACACTTGACACATCATGTTTGGTGCAGTCTTGCATGAATGTAATACAACACTCAATCTGTTGAAACACCATGCATCATCATTAAAAAAAATGATATAAACTGCAATATCCGCTTGAATTTGATTTTTCTCTGAAACTTCACTCACATGTAGGGTTGTTGTTTTGTAGATTAAAGATCCATGCACATAAAACAGCTGTTTGCCTTTTACGTTCTTGACAGCTGCCACTACAAAGCTAACAGCTGTCTGCTGTAGAGGGCATGGTCGTTATTACAATTTACCTCCAGTCTTAGGCTTATTAATCATACGCTGTACCTGTTTCTTTTCTTATACTAAAACTTAAGTTATAAAACAGTAGGTACAGTGTAGGTGTATTAGTGTAGGTACTGCATTGTTAAGATATATTGCATAGTATGTACATTTAGCAGTCATTGTTATAAATGATTTTTTTTAATCTTTTGAAGGGTTCTTTGTACCTGGCTTCCCAAAGCTGCTTAGATTTCAAGACCATCATGATAGGATTTTAAAGAAACTGTTATCACGACTGTTTAAAAATTTGGTAAGTGTTAATTTTAAGCCTGTATCGTTCAAAAGTCTGAGTGTACAAAACCAGAGGTTTTAGAATTTTTCTGTTTATGCTTAACATACATGTATTAACATTATGACAGCTGTGTTTAAAAGTTAAATGGCAGCCAAGTGACTCTCGTAAGGCCTATGCCATGGTTCAAATAATTTCAATATTTTATTTATTTATTACAATTTAATAGCTGATTTTCAAAACAAAACAAAACAAAACAAAACAAAACAAAAAAGAAGCCATAACGATAATGTGTAGGTGAGTTGCGTGACCCCATATAAAACAAATCACCTCATAAAACTGTAAAAATTTCAATAATGTCGCTAAAGCTGTAATAATATTTACAATTTTGTTACAAATTTAATAACGTCAGCTCTAAACTTGTCAACACTGCATGCCGAACGGACCTCAAGAGGCAAACTGTTCCATTCATTGACAATCCTATAAAAGTAACTGTTTTTAAGTATATCTGTCCTGGCATATTTCTTTTTTAAAGTGGTACTATGATCAAATTTTTACCCCTCAATTTTTTAGGTGTATCACATAGCATTCCATGAAAGAATAAAATCGCTGTTGACTGTTTCCAAATACCTGCATTAGTTCCAGAGATATTTAAGTTTGAAAAATGTGTAAAATATGCAAATGAGATGACTGGTGACGTCATACACTCAACCCAATATTATATTAAGCATATAAATAGAGCTATCTCGGTCAATTTACAGCAGAATCCATTGAAACTTGGTAAG